TTCAACTCCCAGAATTCCCCAGCCAGCATGGCTGGCTGGGGAATTCTGGGAATTGAAGTCCTCCCATCTTAAAGTGGCCAAGGTTGAGAAACCCTGGGGCAGAGGAAGGAACACTCAGAAACCACGAATGCCTGAAAAGTACAGTAAAAATCAGCTTGGTGGCTCTGTGGCTCGTGGCCACAGCTGTAGAAATTGGTGGCTCTGCAGAGAAGCCATTCACGCCTGGGACACCGACGTTTCTGGGCTCTTTGCGTGCCAGCAGCAGTCCAGGAGCGCCTTGCACAGGACTGGCACCCTGCTGAATGCATTTTATTGGGAAAATCCACGGGCACCCGTGGAACCGGCAGGGAACGGTCCAAAAAGTCAAGGTGTGATCGCCGCGCATAAAAAACAGGCAGAGATTCAATCGTGCTGTCGGGGCCACCATTTTGACTTTCTGGACTATACCCTGCGGACTCCCGATGAGAACCACGCAGACGTGGGACAGAGCCGGCGACCCATTCGGAGAACGGAGAGGCCAGAAGCTGTGGTTGAATAGAAGGACGCCTGCCGTCGGGGGTCAAAGAAGTCAAGATGGCAGCCAAGGCCGTGCCATTGGAGCCCCGCCCCTTTTTGGCATGGCGAGGCCTGCAAAAAAGGTGGGCGTGTCCCAGCTTGACAGTATCACGATGCACTTCTGGATCTGGGTGTGCAAAACACCCACCCAATCCCTGAAGAAGTTTTGCACGCACACACGGCACATACCCTAAATTCGGACGGGGGAGGAGGTAGTAGCGAAAAGACGAAAATAACTATTTATTGGTATAGCCGCCCAGAGTCTTTTGGAGGGGCAGCCATACCAGTGTAAGAAGTGAAATAATAATACATTTAGTGACCAAGGAGAAAGAGCGGGGGAGCTCCCCTGGGGCTAGCCAGCTTGTGTAACAGTGGTTTAGTGCCTAAAACCCTGGAAACTAACCATGGCTTCCGGTGGCCTCCTTGGAAGAACCAACCTTCTCCGATTTTCCCACTTGCTCAGAACAAGACGAGTTTCACTCTGGCCAAGGAAGGGGGGGCCCTGAGAGATGGGGGCCCCGTGGATTTGGGGGCAAGGGAGAGGCAGCTTAGCCCACCCTGGGGAAGGGAATCCTGTATGTGTCTTAAAGCATGTTTTCTCAACCTCGGCAACTTTAGGATGGGTGGACTTCAACTCCCAGAAATTTTGGGAGTTGAAGTCCACCCATCTTAAAGTTGCCGAGGTTGAGAAACACCGTCTTAAGACATTCTCTTAAGGTTCTAGTCCTCAAGAGACGGCAGCAGGGAGAGCCAAGAGGTCCAGGGAAAGCAAAGACGGCGTTTCCTGAGGGTGCCAACGAAGACCCTGCCCTGGAGACCTTCCAGCCCAGGCCAGCGAGCCATCTGTCCAAAATGCTTTGTTGGGGGGGGGTTGGACTAGATGACTTTGGAGGGCTCTTTCTTTCGGACAAGGGAGGGAAAGTCAGCCAGACACCACTGGAGCAATTTCCCAGTCCCCGTCCCCCTCTGGCTCTAACTTTCCCCACCGGACAGGCGTTTCCGGCCGGGCCACGGTCCTCTTTCCTCGGGGTACGTGCCAATTCCCTTCTTCCAGTGGCGCCCTGGCTTCTCTCTGGACGGCTACTCTGTCCACCCGCCTTCCGGCCCCGACCTCCTTTCCCAGAGATGCCAGGCGCGCCTTTCCAACCATGGACGGCCATCCTCAAACCCTCTCAACTTCAACCTCCTTCTCTCACGCGTCTCCTGCCTCTGACCTCTGCAACAACTCCGCTCCCTGCCAAGCACCCCCCCCAAAAAAAGTTGGGGGGGAAGTCACACTCCTCGAGTCCCTGCTGGCTCCTGCGCCACCCCTGCCCACTGGCACCCTTGCGTCCCCCAACGTCCTGGAGCATTTCCTGCCGCACAGAGCTAACTTTCCCGCAGCTGGGATTGGCTGCATTCACTGACTTCCAAGGCCCGCTGTTCGCTGCAGCAGCCCAGCTGGGGAAGATGGTGGGGAGCCAGCGAAGACGGGCATGCAATTTGCTCCCCCTCGTTTCAGACATGCCAGCTTTCCCCAAAGCGTTGCCAGCGGCGTTTCCCAAGGACCGCAGCCACGTCAGTCCTCCAGTTCTGTCTCCCAGACACATCTTCAGCATCTGTTACCAGCTGTTTGTGGCAAAGGATGGGCACAGTGCCAACCCCTCGCCATGGGCTGCCTGGATCCCTTATCTGCCCCACAGACCCTCCCTCAACAGCAGAGGTGAACCCTATGGCTAAAGCAGGGTTTCTCAACCTTGGCAACTTTAAGGTGTGTGGACTTCAACTCCCAGAATCCCCCAAAATATGTCCACACACCTTAAAGTTGCCAAGGTTGAGAAACCCTGTCTTAAAGCATTCTCCTAAGGTTCTAGTCCTCAAGAGACAGGAGCAGGGAGACCTCGCCTCAATCCCCCCCCAAATCTTGTACACTCCCAAACCTAGTCTCATTCCCCGACTGCAAACAAGGGGAGGGCTGGGGGTCTGCTGGGCAAGGGGAAAATGCTTTTGACCTACGGGCCAAGGGCCCAGTATGGCACGAGACCACCGAGTCAGTTCGGGAACCACTCGTGTGGACGGAGGGGACGCAAACTAGGCATGCAGAGCAGAGTTTCCAGCAACGGCTTTCCTTCAGCTCTCTTCCAAGCCAGCAACAGGGGTGTTTGGGGGGGGGCTGGGGGATTGCAAGACCCCGCCGAGACCACCTTGTTGGGATGGCCAAGGCCCCTCGCTTGGACTCCTGTCCCCTTCTGCAGATGATCTCAGCTGGCAATGGCAGGAAGAAACCCACGTTGATCTTTGCTCACAACCGTGGCCACATCGCCATCGTGTCACCAGGAGCTTCCGGTTCCCCAGAGTGTTGGGCATGTCCACGGCCCAGGCTCCTTCCGCCATTTTGCACTTGGCGGGGATCTGGGAACCCAAAGGCAGTCTACGTGGCTGCATTCAGGCTACGGCCCACAGCCCACGCGGTACCTTGGACCATCTTTTGTCACCCCAAGCTATTCCGACGTTCCACCCGTTCAGAGATGCCGGTCGTGGCCGGCTCCTGCCCAGACGACGTTGCCGGGCCACCCCCGAAGGGTGCTGAAAAGCGGCAGAGGGTCTCCACCATCTCAATCGCTTCAGACAGTCGCAGCGCGCTCGGCCGGACAGGGACATAAATCCGCCAGACTCTTATTAATCAGGCTGCAGACTGGCCGAGCCGCTGTTCTGGTCAGGCGGAAGGGACCCGGCTCCTCCGCGTCTGATTTGCAGAGGCTCTGACTTTAGGAGTCGCCAACGTCTTTGGAATGGCTCCTGGGCTCTTATCAGTTGCACGCTTGGTCGGTATTCAGCGTGCAAAGCCTTTGCCCATCTCTTCGTCCACGGCCTGCAAAGGACAAATGCGGCTGACCGAATTTCTGCCGGGTGGAATGCAGCAAGAACAGCAGAGGAGCCCTGGCTGGTGGAAAAGGCTGGCAACCGCAGGGTTTCAGGCCCCTGTCCCTCTGCCCCCCACAGTTCTTCCTGTTCCTCGAGGTCTACAAACCCTGTGGATCCGTGGGCCTCTCTATCCACCCGACGGTGGATGTGCATGGAAAGGAGAACTGGAGAACTCCTCCCCAATAATGCAGCAGCTGAAAAGTGACACCAGGCCACGTCACCCTCCTTTGCCTGGGTCTGACGCCCCTCCTGCCATTTTCACAGCACCCCAAGGGAAAGGCGCAACTGCTGAGGGGTGAATCCGGTTTTGGGCCATTAATCATCCCAAGGTGAGCACGGAGCCTCCTGCAATTCCGGTTCCCGTTCGGATGTGGCCCTGGGCCCCGGCTGGTGGCCTCCGAGGCCCTCAGAAAGAGGATTTCAGCACGGTTGGGAGGGAGGCCCCTGCGCTTGTCCAGAGTTTCCAGCTCCTGGCGGCTGCTCATTTTTTTCAACATGGGGATGAGGCCATGCTGGGAGAGACCCACCGGGGAGAGGGCGAAAGAGAAGCCTGCCCGGGGCAGCGTGGTTTTGTGGGGGGAAAGAATAGCAAGAATTGTTTTTACGTTGAGTGATATGCGGGAGCCCTTGTGCCCCGTGGTTGGGCCCTTGTCCTTAAGTGTCTTTTTGGCACGGTCGGGCATTTTGCCCTTGTAAATGTTTCCAGCCAAGAAGGCCCCCCCGCCCCCTGGCGCATCTTGGCATCTGGCATGGGCCATCCTTTGCCGAGCGGGAATCAACTGAGGGAGGGCTCTTCTAAAGTGATTGCGTGCTTTGGGTGGTCTTTCTTCAGTGGCCCCTCGTGCTCCTCCTCCTTGGCCAGCCTCAAGTCTCAAAGTATTTGTAGATCTGGGCCACGTACTGCATGACGCTTTGCCAGTCTGGACGGTCGGTGTACATGATCTCACTCAGCTCCTGTGGGAGGGAAGGGAAGGTGGCAAGAAGGGGCAGAGGATAAGCAGAAGAGGAACCCAGCCGAGCAGCGGGTTGTTTACTCCACGGGCTAATCTTTCCCTCCCTGGTCACCATCCAGATGAGTGGACTTCCTACTTCCCAGAATTCCCAGAGAGAAGAGCCCCATGGGGAATTCTGGGAGCTGAAGTCAACATTTCAGGAAGGCAGAATTGGACAGATGGATGGCCACACAGATGATTGATAGATAGATGACAATAAATGATAGACATAGATAGATATAGACAGACAGATGAGAGAGAGAGAGAGACAGATGATAGATAGATAGACAGACAGACAGACAGACAGACAGACAGACGAGCAAGGGCCAGAATGCTGAGAGAAAGAGCTTGAAAATAAATAGAAAGTGGAGGAAATTCAGCAAATAATTGTTCAATTTGGGGGGGAAAGGCTGTAAGAGAACCCCAGCGGGTCTCTACTGAGCCTCTGCAACCCTTGGCAAGGATCAAGGGTTTGCCAACCCTGATCGTAAACCCTCCTCCCTGGTGGCATTTCCTTCCTGCCTTCTGAAGCTTCCTGGCACTTCTGTAAAGCCCCTGAGTGAGGCGAGAGACGCTCCGATCTTGGCCAGTGGCCCAGGCTGGAGATTCCTCCTCTGAGCTCCGCCAAGCGGGTCAGCTGTGCCCCCGCCCTGGGGTGCCCAGAAGCTGAAGGCAGGAACAGCAGCCATTTAATCGCGCTGGCATGGCCCCCGCAGATCAAAAGGCAGCCAGGCCGACTCCAATCCAGTGCTTTGAAGAAGCGAGACGTGGAATAAGAAGCGTTTTTTTAAAAAGGGGGCAAGGAAGAAAGGATCCAAGATTCCGCTCAGGGGAGACTTGGGGAAAAAAATGACTTTGGTTCGTGCAGTTGTGGGAAAACCTGACAACTGCATGATTCTGGGTTTGCACGTATACACCTGTGCGTGTGCGCGTGCGAATTTATATATTTCAATCAGCTGTGGATTGAAGGTTGAGTGGGTGATGCTGATTTTTTTTTTAGCGGAGGTATTTTTATAGCCAAAGCTGAGGTTAAGTTTGCAGCCAGGTGAGAGACGTGCAGACGGGCAGGACTCCAGGGTGGGAAAACTAAAGGGGATCTCATGAACATCCTCGCCGGACCGTCCCAGCTCTCTGCAACCCAACGGCCCGCTTCCCACAGCGGCCAGCTGGATTCTCCTGCAAAGGTTCTGCAAAACTGGCTTGAAGACGACCACCCCCTTCCACTATTAGCCCCTCCCGGTTGAAACTGACACTGGGAGATAGACTGCTTCTCAGGGTGGAGGCTTGACACAGCCACCCAGAGGACCAGCTAGAGACTTTTCCTCCTTCTGGAGTTCGATTATTTCCTGACGTCTGCAAAACGCACAGAGTTTCCGCACGAGACTCCAGGTAACTTTGGGGCCGTGGTTGAGGAAAGAGTCTTTTTTTAAATGTACCCAAATAACTCCCTTTTGCTTATTTGTTTTTAAATGGCGCAATGTATTTAAGCGCACAGATTGTGAGAAACAGCTGTTAAGAAGCCTTCCCTGACCCAGCTGTTTCGGAAGGCGAAGTACCCTGGCGCCAAGGCTTTCACGCTTGCAGTGGTGCATCAGCTTGCTCATAAAAACCACCCCAAACAGCAAACAGTGGCCAGATTTTGCTCCCGAATCCCCCAAAAAGAGAATTGGAGAGACGCGCTTGTTTGAGCATGCCAACCTGTTCTGTTCCGGGCTGCAAACAGCCCTTGCACTCTACTGTATGTGGCTGGTTGGCGTGCCTGTGGGTGCACGGAAGGCGCTTTCTAAAAGTTGTAACGCTGATTGATGTGCAATCGACAGGGAAGAGAAAGAGGCTTCCTCATAAGAACCGCATCGAGCTCTGTCAAGTTTGTGCATACATATAAGTAGTGGAAAAATCCATCCACTTGCAAAGAAACAGGGATAAACAATGATGATTTATGTGAGAGAGAAGCGCACAGGCTGGAACTGTCAGGGTTTGTAAGCGCTTCCTCTGAAGGCATCTTGGTTTGGTGGTGACGCCTGAAGGTGGGAACGTGCGGGCCAGAACGTGGAGCCGATTAAAGGGCGCTGAGTTCCCCCAAAGCCTCGACTGGCTTGCAGGATCTGAGCAAAGCCCGTCCTTTCCTGATGGACACCCTCTAGAGGGGCTGAATACGGCCCCCATCTTCTGCAGCTAGCATGGGTCGTGCTGGCAGGGGATGACGGGAGCCCCAGTCCTAACAGATTAGGGGAAAATACCTGAGCGACTTGGGGTCCACCTCTAGCAATGCCCGTGGGAGCCAGCCTTGCCTTTCCCCCTCTTGGGAGCCTCTCTGCCTACCCCTCTCCCCGAACCTGCACTGCAGCCCTGATCCTTCCCTCCCCAGGAACACAAAGCCACAAACCGACTTACCAAACTGGGTTTGATTCCAACACTTTCAGCCGCTTGGAACGCGAGAAGGAGGTTTCTTTTCTGTGGCAAAGGAAAAATGAGTAGGGCAAGGAACATAAAAGCCTTTTAAAGTCTTTTAAATAGATTCATTAAAAAAAGAAGAAGCATGGACTGCCTATTCTCCTGTCAGCCTGACCAGCTGCCATCTACAAGCCTCGCTGGAAGCCTTGAACACCCCCCAACACCTTCAGGGGCTTGGCTGGTGGTGATGCAGCAAACAGGATCTCCCCAGTGGTGGCATCCGGGCAGTGGAATTAAGCCCCCAAGGGCTGGTTGACTCGCCCACCCTTTAAATGTACCATTAAGACATCATTTATATTAACTGCCCAGTAGGCTGACTTCCTTGCTATTATTAGACATTTTACTGTGATCTATTTTGAGCAACGGGCTGTAGAAACTTGCCTCGGTGTGCATGTGTCAAGGCAATATTTAAACACTTAAATAAACAGTGGAACAAAACAGCCACTCCTGGAGCGAAACCTCCAAGCTGGCGGGCCAAACAGCAGCCTCAATAGAGGGGTTAGCAAGAGGAAGGAGGAGGAAAAGGTTAAACCCTCACTCCCGATCAGCTGCACTTTGTCTCGTCTCCACCCACAGCCTGCATGGAAACTCCCAAGAGGCATTTAAGCTTCACTCCAGGTTAGTCTCTGTCTTCCTTGTTCGGCTGTCCACAGGGCAAAAGGAAAAAATAAAGAAGGAAAACTTATTTGGCAAAATGCAGCTGAGTGGTTCCCAATGCACGCTGAGCTGAGAGGCGATTTGGAGGGAGGGGAGGCAGTGGAACCAAAATATATCTTTCTAAAATCGAACTTCTAGTTTTTCTGGCTTTGCCCTTTTAAAGACCCCCCTCTTCCTCAATTTTCTTGAGGACTAGGGGTCGGTTTTAGACTTTGGGTTGGCCCAGTTGAGCAACTCACAATTGCTGAAGGCAGCCCCGGTAAAGGGTAGACGCCAAGTTACTTACATCGCCGTAGAAGAAGGATTGGTGAGTATTCTGGGGAGTTGAGAAAGTCTGCAGGTCTTTTGGTAGATTTGCAAAAGGACAGCTGTGTCACCCTGGACCAGTGTTCCTCAACCTTGGCAACTTTACGATGTGTGGACTGCAACTCCCAGAATTCCCCAGCCAGCAAGGCTGGCTGGGGAATTCTGGGAGTTGAAGTCCACACATCGTAAAGTTGCCAAGGTTGAGAAACACTGCTCTAAGTCCTGAATAACATACTATTTTAACTTTTAAAAAGTTTTCTGGGGTCAGGCCACAATTAAAACACACTCAAATAGGATTTTGGATGTTTCTTTTGCTAATATGCGCCAAAGTCAACAACAGCTGTAGGAAGTTGGTTTGAGATGGGAGTATGGAAGACCTATTAAATCTCTCTTCCTCGGATAGCCAGTGCTATCCACATTGATAAGGTGAGAAGCAGTTTTTGAAAGGGGGTGGAGGTCCATTCAGCCCATCTGCACAAAACCCAGTGGAG